ATCCTAGCAGCTCTAGAAGCAGGCTTTCCTCAGTTATTCATTCTGCCATTTACCCTGACTTTGAAATGATTCTGGGTGTTTAACAGTGCTTGGTTTAATAAATCAAAAACTTTTGCTCCAGTTTATTATGTTTTTGGCTAAGCACAAAGTTATGTTAATTACAAATGTTACATGTTCATGTTAACCTTATCAAACTAAATAAAGGCGCAGTGCACCCAAAACTAAAAATTTGCTATGGCATTCTGTCATTTGTTTCAGAATGATTTTCTATCAAGTTATTTTTGAAGATGTAACCAAATTGTTTTAGAGCTGCAATAACATTACGTTATTTCTAAATATCAAAAAATACTATATATACACTATAAAAATTCTAGCATGAAAGTTTATTTGTACTAATGTCTATGTTGAGTGGAATAAAAAGAGTTTAAATTCCAACAAATAACATGTAAAAGATATAGCTCTTTTTACAGTAATTAGCTGTAATCATGCAACCTGCCTTAATTTTACAATAAAATTATGAATACAACACCTTTACCGTGAATTTTAATGTAATTTAATTTTCTAATGTAATTTACTGTAAAAATATTACAATAACGTTGTGAAAATCTGGACATTTTTTACAGTGTACATTAAAAAATTGTAAATTTGTCTTATGTAAATCTAAGCTACATATTAGCTGAGTATTTCCATTTTAAAGAGAACAAATGTAGCTGAAGGCTGCTGAAAGGAACTTTTGATCAACTATATTACAAAACTGTTTGGCATTTTCATGTTATATATTTTTTTTCTCTTTGATGTAGAAATGTATATATTTCATACATAGTATGAAGCTTATCAGTCAGTTCTTGTCAAGTGACTTGCGGTGTGCTCACGCCATTCTTTCAACTAGGTTTGCCTGGAAAGTTGCGTGCCTCCATTGGAAATTTGCGAAACAAACTTGCGTGCGCAAAAGAAGCAGTATGTGATCAGCCCTTAGTTATTAGCCTCAGCCATAGCAAATCCAGTGTGTGTGTGTGTGTGTGTGTTATCCTCTGTGTACAAGCCTCGAATTTTAAACTAGCGCACAGTTGGCATAACTTTGTTTAGTTGCAGCAGTATTGTTCAGTGCAGAAATGTGTTGTTAAGCCTTGATGATTAATTAACCGTGACTAATTAAAGTGCGGGTAATAGTGAAATTGGTTAATTGCTGCATGACTAGTTTGAATACAATGAAGAAATATCTCTGTTCCACTGATAGCTAGAAAATCTGACAGTCAGGCAACAGAGTGGAGACGTCATGTGCTCTACCACAGTAAAGGAGAAGACTTATAACAGCAGTTAAGCACAAATGTTTTTAGCAACATATTTAATAGCAGTTTGCTGGTAATATCCACCAATTGTGGTGCAGTCAGACCTGTGTTTTCAACTGGTTCAATCTGAATTTTTTTACGTATGAAGGCCTCTACTGCACAGCTCAGTATGCTTAACCACAATATAAGGCTGCAGGATATTTAAAAAATCTAACATTTCGATATTTTGCTTTGCTGCGATATGAATATAATTCACCAGTTGATTTGAATAACTTTGTTCGGAAATATTTTATTAATTTACATCAACTGGGATGATCAAACTTTTTCTATGCAGTGCATTTGCATAAAATATAATAAATTACAGCCATATATGAATGCAACGGAGCAAAAATAGAAGTTAGATGTTTTATGGCTTTTCTAGGGAGCCTAACTGTATTCAAGGACAGAAATTGAACAATCAGATGTAAAATGAGATGGTCATCACTGTATGAATCATTTGCGATTCATACACCAATTGCGATATCCATGCTTAAACGATTTATTGTTCAGCCCTACCACAATATTGCAAGCAAGTTTAATTGTTTTTGTTTATTTATATCATAATGGCTATACAGTGCTGTTGTACATTTAATTATTCAATTAATTTACCTGAAAACTATTACACAATCCGAAAAGCACTATTTATCTGTATGTGCTAATGATTCGTTTATTATATTTTACGCAGATGTACTCTCATCCCAATTGAATTTTTTCAAAGTGGTGAAACTGCATTTAGGCACCAAACTTTATTGCGGTAAATGATATTATTGTGATTTTAAGACCATTTTGCCACTATAACAGCATCATACACTCTTCCAAAGAAACTAATTAATCTTTTATCCTCAGGAATATTTTAATTATAGTCATTTTAACAATTTAATTATTAGGTATTGGAAACATATATGTACTAAACAATAGGTAAAAATACTAGAAAAAAGTAACAGAACAATTTCCATTCGTCAGACACCCACATGAAAATTTACTATAGTAATTTATAGAAAATACTATATTGTTTTCTTAACCATACTGACACCTTCAATAAAAATAGATGATTTTAGCTGCGTAATCAGCTAAAATGTGTCTGGAATTGTTTTTATGTATGGGTGATTTATACTGCACCGACAAAAATGATTGAGGACATGTCCACTTGTTGTACGGTAAGTCGGTATATTGATTATTGTGACAGGCCTAATTGCATTCAAATCGCAATAGATATTGCAGAACATAAAATATTGAAATGTCAATTTTTTTGTGCAGCCCTATAGACAAACATCACTGCAACACTCCACTGATCAGGGGTCTCATTTATAAAGGTAACAAATGCACAAAATAGGGTGTAAACTTGCGTATGTCACTTCATACACAAAGCTATGGTCTACAAAACACAAACTTGAAAGTAAAATGTCCACAGCTGTAAGTAAACTCAATGTAAACATATTTAACTTAAATGTCGACTTAATTTGACCACTTTAAAACCATCACGAGCAATAATCATTTATGAATAAATGAAACTAGACTCTGCCGTACATTCACTTTTAGGTTTCTATGCAAAGATTTATAAATGAAAACCCTCAAGCCTCGCCAAATACATGAATGAACAAGGAAAACATCACCAGAAGAAGATTGGGATTGTGAGAAAGACGGTTCTCTCATCTAATAAACACCAATTAAAACGTAATATCTAGAGGAAGATGATAAAAGTGCTAGGACTTAACCTTGAAAATAAAATCACTATCTTCTATGTCAAACCCCAATTCTGCTATTGCCAATTACAGTCATGTTGTGGTTCACTCTGCGTCAAAACCTTGGCAAATAACAATAAAGTGGATTTCCATATCAAGATGTTTCAGCCTTGAACTGTACACCTTCTTCTGTTTGAGATAAGATAACGAAGATATTCTTTTCCTTACAGGAGATTTATTGAGAATACAGTCTGTGTTAAGTCTTTCCAAGGAATGGTCAAGTCAGATAAGAGTCAAAGAGACGGCGCGAGGAGTGAAGCAGCAAATTCCCCTAATTACCTAATCTATGCGTGGACACACAAAGCTTACAATGGAGGGAGAGAGGGAGAGAGAGAGAGAGAGGTGTCACAGCCTTGGCAGGGTGTTATGCAAACTGACACATAATTGAAAAGTGGAACAGACTGACATTTGTGAAGTTATTATATTGAGACTTTACTCAAAACCAAGCAAAATACTCCAAAATATTAACTACAAGCCTTCCAGTATTGCTGATTTCCAAACAAACACCAAAAAAATGTCATAATCAAATAATAAATGAAAATAAAAGCTAGATATTTATGTGCTTGCATGCTCATTGGCTCATAAACTGAGAGGGAAATTATGAATGATATTAATTTAATGAAGCCTATAATCATAAACAGTGCGATTGCAATTTATTGTTGATCCTAATCTATATAATACATCATTTAGTGCACAAAAGAATTAAAATTAGATTTATGTTTTTGAAGGAAGTGTCATACGCTCACAGAGTATTCATGTATTAGATTATTAAATATATATAATAAAAGCAGTAATACAGTGAAATATACACTGAAGGATCGTGACACAGCTGGACTAAGCTGCTGAAAGTTCAGCTTGGAATAACAGGATAAACTATTTTGAATACATAAGCCTACTCAAACAGAAAAGTTGACATTAGATTTCACAATGTTGATGTTTTTATATTGTATTTGTGGTTAAATAAATTCTGCCTTGGAGACCACAAGAGATAAAAACATAAACATTGAAGCCTCCAAATGTTTGGTAGTCTTCAGGAAGCCTATTTTGATGTACAAACATGCCACTTCAGCACACTTTAACAATAAAGAACAACTCATTGCAGCTGTCATTAATATTAATAACATCAATACGCGAAATTCGGATTTAGTACAAAAAAGCACACACACATTGCCACAAAACATACTTAAAACAAGCTGCTCGAGTTTTAGTACGAACATAAACTATATCCAAAACATGACATAACGTTTGCGTATTCTGATTTGACATTTAATAATCAAATTTACCACGAAAACAAAGCGTTTCCTTCTCAATTAAGATGTTTAGTGAGGGAAAGTCGCTTTTATATTCGCACATTCCTTCATTTTCAAAAAGGGATATTTTGACATGGTCACAATGATGTTGTTTACAACGCTCGGTCTGAAATAGCTTGTAATAATGACTTCAAAAAAACAACATTAGCACTACTTAATAGACTGTAAATAATGTTGTACTTGGATAGTCAATGGCTCCTAATATGATTTCGCTATTTAGTATATGCAAAAACACTTTTATGAAATTATATTAATAAGCAGAAAGTCAGAATATGCGGGAATAAAACCAACTTTACCTCAATGATATGTTAGGGAACAGTATGTTTTGTCCAATATAAACGCATACAGCGCCACGACACGCGCATTGCGGGTCTTTTAACCGTTATTAACAGCCGCTCACGAGCTTAAACCCATCGCGATCAGATCAAAAACTCGGTGGAACTGTTCGGTATATCTACCATCGATCATCCGGTGTTAAACAGACGTGAATTTACAGCTGTTATGGTACTACTAAAGCTCCCATAGGCCAGAATCAGCCGCACAATGACACACAGCAGCGGATGAAGGTACAAAACGAGACGCAAATATTTCACGGATATTAACGAGTCGGTTCACGTTACCTTCTTCATTCTCGGTCCCTCGGCCACGGTGCCGTCACAGTTGACAAAAGCCTCGCCGCCGTTCTGTTGCGGGTCCGTCCGCTTCATCGCGGACGCCTGCGGCATCTTCATGGGGCTCGGTGCGACGGTCACCGGGCTCGGATCCACCGCCGCGGCCGCTGCCATGGATGTTGACGAAGAGTTTATTTCAGTCTTCTTCTCCTCTGCCTTGGGTGTCAGCGGAGATATCGCAGGGGGAGAGTCTTTACCGGCCACGTCTTTTAATTCGACCTCGGCCATTTTCGTTGCCACAGCTTGGACTGACATCGCTGCGATCCGCACGGTGCTTTTTTCCAATACAGAGAAGCGACACACACACACGAACGGATACGCTGTGGAATGACGCGCTGCGCGAAGCAACATGGGACATGTAGTTCCGTGTGCTAAGGTGGCTGCTAGAAAGGATACAGCTGCGGCTGGAAGTTAACGAGAATTATTTAATTATCTATAAATTGTATTTTATTAACGTCTACCCCTACAACAACCATCACAGAAATGTATAAATTGTAATCATAAAGAGTGTCATTCATATTATTTATTAAAATACTCATCAAATTGTACTTTATTAACGTTTTCCACAACCCCACAGTAATGTCAAAATATGAATTATTGTTGTACAGGGCCACTAATATTATTCTATACTAATGTATCCGCAGCTGTATCCCTTCTAGACTTTACCGTTTACTAATGCTTCATTAACGCATCCTGTTGTTTATAATAGTAAGCAGCAGTAAAATAAAAGCATCATAATAACAGACGACCTTCATATGTAACAAGTCAATTATTACATCCCATTTTGTTGATTATATTACCATAAACATATATTAAAAGCAAATATTGTATTAGATTTATATAACTTATAGTGAACATAAACATAATGAACAAAATCAAAACAAGTTATTTGTAAAAAATAAAATAAACACATACATTCCTAACCTTTACTTATTAACATACAAATAACATTTAAAAAATATTTGACTATTATAATGTTTGTTATTTAGGTTAAACCAAGTGAACAAAATATTTATCATTTAAAATTACAATTGAACAGTAATTTGAGACAGTATTGTTGATATTTAATGTCATCAAATTATTCTAGTTCTAAATATGCCAGAAATATTTATATTGTTTACACAAGCTGTTTTCTTTACTAAATAAAAGTATAAAGGGTGCCTTCTGTAAAGTCTTCAAGAAAATGTATGATAGACAACAAACATAAAGTTGCATAAATATGCTAAAAGGCTTATTAAATGTCTTATTCTCTAATACATTATGCATGAATATTCAATATCAATTTCAAACTGTATTTTTGCTGCTTGTTCAAATGACTTATTTAAAATAAGCTGAAACAACACAACTCATGAGATGTCTTTGGGACAACTTAATTGATCTATGTTCAATTCGCTTCGTTACCTTTTTCTGTGCTGCTACAACATGAATGAATGATGTGATTTTTTTTACTGTATGCTATTCCAACTCCAGTATTTATTAAAGCCTTTGTACATACATAAGATTGGGCTGTTTTTTTTCTCCCTGTTTTCACTTTGCCCTAATAAAAAGCAAGCTGAGAGGGTGTTTTTTTTGGCCTAACTCTCCAGATGTATCTCACTTCCCTTTCAAAATGCTACCTCCTGTGACCTGTCTTCCCCTGAAAATTGTGATGTTTGTGTATTTCATATATTTCACTATATGAAAGTGTATGTGACAAATAAAGGCCTGATTTGACTGGTGTATTCCTATTATTTATAACCTTACGCAGGAGTGCAGCACTACCATCCAGTGGTTAATACTGGAAACAGTTCAACACTTTGAAAAATAAAACAACAATGCCAGTCCTTTATTATTATGAAAAACAAAGACAAAAGTGGAAGCTCGTTCCGTTTCAAGTTTCACTGCAGACACAATACAAAACATCAACAAAAACATTCTCCTCAATTATGTAATTTGCCATTCAAGATCAGAATCACCCTTCGCTATATTGATAAATGAATCATCCAGATATGGAATTTAATTAAGAGCAAGAAACAGGCTGTAAAATAATTCTGACTCACGTGGTTTCATAGCTGCACATTACTGCAAGTGTAACCGGGCTTCATTCTTTCAGGAAAAAAATTAAAAAGTTGAAGAAAATCTATCAGTAACTGCTTTAAAATGCAACCTGGCCATCATGAATCTAGCAGTGTCCACAAAGAGCTTACATTCATGTATAACTACATTGCTTACCTAATATGAAGAGCAAGATACAAAAATCCTGTGGAACAAAAGGTCCACTGGGCACTTTTTTCAAGTCATAAACATCTCAGCATTGAAGATTAAAACATTTCCTTCGGCTAAAATGACTTCCTGTACTCCACCTGTATTTGCATTCGAAGTTGTAAGTGATATGACGGTACGATGCATCTCAAAAGACATGCAACATCACAACAGTGTAAAGGTAAAAAAAAGTCTTTATCACATCCCAGTGTTTGTGCAGTGATTTTGTTTTCTTTGTGGCAAATACTGATGTGTCGCATCTCAGTCACCGAAGATCCACAGTACATTCACACCCGAAAGGCCTAGATTTACTCTCCTGTCGCACAAAAACATAAAAGAGGGTGAATATATTCAATAATCAAAGAATCATTCGAGTAATAACATTTCTGGTTGTCATACATGAACAGAATCTTTTCATTAAAATGTACATTATTTCATGTTATATAGTAATATCTAATGGGCGTCACGGTGGCTCAGTGGTTAGCACTGTCGCCTCACAGCAAGAAGGTCGCTGGTTTGAGTCCCGGCTAGGCCAGTTGGCATTTCTGTGTAGAATTTGCATGTTCTCCCAGTGTTGGTGTGGGTTTCTTCCGGGTGCTCCTGTTTCCCTCACAGTCCAAACACATGCGCTATAGAGGAATTGAATAAACTAAATTGGCCGTAGTGTATATGCGTGAATGTAAGGAAGTGTGTGGATGTTTTCCAGGGCTGTGTTGCAGCTGCAAGGGTATCTGCTGTGTAAAACATATGCTGGATAAATTGGCGGTTCATTCCACTGTGGTTACCCCAAATATATAAGGGACTACTTTCAAAGTGAAATGAATAGTAATATTTAATTATTGCTGTCAAAAATACCAATATATTGATTAAAAAAAAATGGGTACAGAAATATTTAAAATCATATAATCTTGTTTTTGGTTAGTATCGATACTCTTCTCACCAGCAGAGTTGAATAATGCATAAAATATTAAGATTGTAACACTTGTTTTAATCAGAAAATTGCCTTTAGTACTTCTTTAGGACTGCTGACATATAAACAAGCAATTCAAACGATGGACTTAAAGCCTATGCGATAGCCTCATTGTGGTTTTATCTAAACAAAACCTTTTTAGTTTTGATAGTTTTATTAAATTAATTATCTTAATTTTTTTTTAATTGTATAAATAATCATGTTCCAATTATGTTTTCAGATCTGATCAGTAGGCATCAAACCTCACAGAGTGACATGAGCAACTGCCATTGTTGACTGTCTAGAGCCAAAGTGTAAGACCTCATTTGCTCAATATGTTTTCTCTTATAAGGAAACCAAATTGTGGAATTATTTACCTGTTAGGCTAAAATTAGAAAGCAATATACATGTTTTAGTAGTGTTCTTAAAAGTGATTAAAAACAAAACAGCAGTGTTTGCACAAATAGTTTGCTTGATCGTGGCGTCTTCGCTTTTGCCTTACAGTAATTTTATGTAAAGACTTATAATGTTGTGTATATGCATATATTTTATTTTCAGTTTAGGTCAAGCCTCCTGTGGACAGGTGTTGAGAGTTTGGCAAGTCTGCTAAAACACTTAAACAAATGCATTTGATTGTCCAGTGTAATTGTAATCTCCATGTCAAATAAATAAATAAATAAAATTAAAATCTGGCTTGGCTTTATATGTTAAAGTTACCTTTTACTTGACTTGCATACTTTTAATATTGTGAAATGTGACCCCATTGTATAGAAAATTGATATTTTTCAGCGTATCCTGGTATTTTTCCAGTATTGTGACAACACTGTGTCAGTTTTTAGAGATGCACCAAAAATGATCAGATGAAAATGGTATTTTCAGACAAAAGAAAAAAATGGCTGACAATATGACTGTATAAATAAATAGGTTTAATTAATTCATCCATTTGTTAAGTGTGACGTCACGCGAAGCAGCTTCCGTGTTCAAGCACTCTATCAAACTCGACACATGGTAATAATTAGGGCCAGACGGAATCTGCGGACGTTTTTTACTATTTCTGCGGAGAATTTTGGTAAAAATCAGCTGATTTCTGCGAAAGTATTTTGGGAGTATCCAGCGAAGTATCAAAACTAAAACCTTAATACAGTATACGAAATAAAAAGTAATAAATTACTGAATAAAAACTGAATAAATTTAGATTTACACATTTACTCAAGTAAATAAACAGAATAATGATGGGCTAAAAATCTGCAGAAATCTGCGGAATTCTGCGGAAAATCTGCGGAATTCTGCGCGCGCAGATTCCGTGTGGGTCTGGTAATAATTAACATTTATAAAGCAATACAATACTTTCGAAAATCACGATCACAACATTTATATCCATGCCTAATATCTGATGGCCTGAAAGTGATAAATATTTTTATGAATTGTTAAAATATTGGTGTCTGACATGCAGCAGATCAAGAGACTGTTGTGTACACTATGATTTTATATCAAATTTACTTTAATGTGTGATGTGACTAAAAAGTGGTCATAAACAATGATTTTCTCCATTTAAATGAGTACCCGGAAACAGTAATCCATACATCACTGATACGTCACGACTTAACAAGAGGACAGTTGAATTGTAAAAGACTTACAAAATGACTTATATCATGTAATAAATAATAAATAATTATTACAAAACATTTTCGGTTTCGATTTTAAGCCAAATATATGCAGAATTTTCAGTTTTGTCCAAAAAATGTCAGAATTTTTTAAT